TCAAGCTCTATCTTTTAAAGCTGGTTATGAAATGCAAACATGTTGAGGATATCGATCAAACAGCCCCAGCTAATGCAGCAGAGCATAAATCACGTCCCAGTGAGCCTTTCACCGGCGCTCTATAGAGTGAGTGAGAACTTGACTCAGATGTGCCCATTCATACGTGGACTTTTGTTTCTACACTGAAACTACATTAAATCCATAAACTACAGAAGAAAACTGGTCATCACCAGCCCACCTGCTGAGAGAAGGTGTGGAGACCAGGTGTGGTCATAATTACCCAGACTTCCTCCCTCAGCGGATCGAGGCTTCTACGGTTTCACCGCCACAAACCAGCGTAATTCGATGAGGACTTTAGGGAATCTAACGAACAAACCTGAACAGGGGCCTACTGTATACGGAGGAATGCGGGCAGATCTGCTGCTGGATAAAGGCTTTTGTCAGGCCTCTCTGGTGTCCAGGCAGACTGTGAGAACCCAGAGAAGAAGAGCTGGACTCTGAGCCTTCTGTCTCAAACAGATTATGTGCAATTCAACTGATTGACTGCCTGGAGAAACTGAGGTATCTGCATAAGGCCATCGGTAGATCAGTAGCTTTCAGGCTTTCTCAGCATTCACATCAGCCAGTTCTTACAATTATGAAACACACTGCTTTACGTTCTCTCAACAGCATCCCTGATTACTGACGAACACAGAACAGCTTCTCAGAGATCAGTCTTTCTGTATCAATGACTACAATATTCTCTGTAAATGTCAATGATTCCACTTTGGTTCCATGGGCTTCGTTTCTGAGCAAGAGAAGTAAAGCATGAAGCCTGTATTCATCACTACATGAAATCATTGATGAAGATATTTGACATGACGCTGCTGATCAGTTTGTGTTCGAAATGTTCTGTTGAACAGCATAAAAAACCCCATAAACACCATGAACACAGCCACAGCACACTTATCACACAGTACGCTGGATTTTATTTGCAATCCTTGTGAACTTGACATGTGATATCACCATGAATGTCATTGTTTCACATTCACTGATTAATTTGTGGTGGACCGCCACTAATAGATTTGCACAAAGTTGTCCAAAACTCGTGCAATAATCGCGATATGGCTGGATTAAACTTCAAAAGGCTGTGATTTCATTGAATAAATATGAGTGCTACACATTTCAAAGTCACAATGCGGCAAAATTCAATCCAGATGAATACTGAAAAATATTTTCCAAGAGTATTTTTTCAGAAAGCCCCGTAAAATAACATGTTCAAACAAAGGGTCTAAATGTGCTATAAAAAGTAGATGCTGGGGAAATTTTGAATGTAAATAAAGTTCCTCGCAATTTGAAATATTTGCATTGGAGCATTTTTTAAGTATTATAATATAAAACAAAAAAATCCCCCCCTCCATCGGGGGAACTGCCACCACACATACAGTGTAAGGCTGTGGGAAACACTGAATGTAATAAAAAATAGACTATATGATGAATTGCTTTCTGCATTAATTCTTTCTGCATTTATGTATTCATTTAGCAGATGCTTTTATCCAAAACGACTTCCAATTGGGGAACATCACAAACCATTTACTAATTTATGGCTGCATTATTTGAGTTAAAAGTAAAAACTAGATCAGTACATGAGGCATAGCAGAGGTGAAACACAGAAAAGAAGAGCAAGAGAGAGAAGATTTACAGTATTTATTTTGACTCCCATTAACTAAAGGTCGCAGGCCGCTCTCTTGGTCTGTCAAAAAGAGGTGATTTAATTTAAAGGGGACCTAACACACAAAATTTCACCCAATCTCATATTAATCTTGAGTACCTATAGAGTAGTACTTCATATCTCCACAAAAAAGTCTCTAGTTTTATCATATTTATAAACGAAAGATACAGCTTTCCGATTCTCTCCGGAAACAGCCGAGCTCCTGGAGGCGTGTCGTGGGCGGAGCTAAAGAGTGATGAGCACTTAAGCGCCGATTGTCAACAGAACACAGACATCTGATGCAGCTTCACTTAGCGTCTGCAGTTCTGGATCATGACCGGGATCTTTTATAGCTGGGACCGCTCCATCTTTCAGTAGCAAACGATGTGCAAATCCAGCGTCGAACTGGGCCTTGTTTATAAAACGTTCGTCAACAAACACACTTGCGAAACTCCGTTGCTGCTCCGAAAAACAAACTGCATCCGCTGTTTACGTAACGCTGGATTCTTCGGGAAGCTGAACAATGTTATCTTTCCCTTACAACCAAAAACACACCTCTTTAGAGACATTCTTCTCGAGCGAGTCCCAAGCAGCACTGCTGAAATAAGTGCGTTGATGGGCGTGCTCTCGCTCTGGTCGATGTGTGCGCGGGCGCGCCCTACCGGGAGAAGTGCCCATATAAGGTATAAATATATATATATATACACGTAGATGCCTCATTGGTGACTGTTTCTATCCTGTTTCATCCGCCATTTTTGGAACGGTCTGCGAACCAACGCGTGCGTCTACAACAGCAAGTTATACGCTTGTATATGTTTGAATATTCATTGATTATTATGGTGAATGACGTCAAGTTGACCGTTCCAAGATGGCGGACGCGTCAACGTATCTGGAGCGGTCGAATAGGGAATCTATACATATCTATGATATAAGGAGTTCCACCCATCATTAAGTCATGAAGAGCCACAATCGAAAAAAACTTTCCAAAACTTGTAAGAAACCCGGAAGTGTGTATTTGGCACAGAAATACTCTGTTATAAGTCCAAATCATTTTTTGAAACTTTGGCCATATTTAGCATGAGAATCCAACTCAGTGTAACAGTGTAAACAACTCGCGCACACTCACACACACACACACACACTCTCACAAACAGACACGCACACACACACACACTCGGTTAAAATATTGCTCATATATCAGGGCTCTAGACTCATTCTTCCCACTGGTCGCTCTTTTGCGGCTAACTTTCTCAGTTGGTCGCACGAGCACATAATTTTGAAACAATTTTATTATTATTATTTTTTTTGCTACAACATTTGATTAATCAATGCATGCTGATGAACTTTTATCATAGTTTATAGTTATATGGTAACAAAAATGTTCAACATTCAACCCATTCTTTTTCATCAGTATTATTTGTGATTTAAATTTTGTGAACAGGAATTCCTCTTTTCGTGCGCTTTCACTTTCACTTTCAAAACGAAAACAAAAAGAAAAGTAAAACTAAACTGGCTGTCGCTGACAGGACTTGCATGCTTTTTTCCACAAGAATACCAACATGTTCACCTTCTCTGGTTTAAGAAGCGGTCTTTTACTTTAGTTTTGTAAACCAAATCCTCCGTTGCGCTCGCGCTGAAAGCGCCTCTCTTCACGTGATCAGTGAAATCTGACTCCTGCTACAATGTGCCGCGGCTCTGCAGCAATTTGATAATAATAACCAAATTATAATGGGCCGCCTAATAATAATAATAATAATAATGATTATTATTATTATTATTATTTAATACATTAATAGGAGAATGAGCCTAATATCGTCTTGACTATCGACAAAGACATCTGCTATCTTCGATATCTCTGACTATCGTCGATACACGATACTATCATCTATCGGCACAACTCTAACACATACTCACACACACACACACACAATTACTCACACACTCACACACACACACACAACACAACAACAACTATGGGAACATTATTTCTCTCCTGTTATGTTTTCCTGACACGCATTTGGATGATTAATCTGAGCGCCCACAGCTGCAAAGAGCTCCATCGAATTAGTGAGACGTGAGAGGGAGGGCATATGCTAATTAACCTACATTACCTGGCCAATGCACTGGATTCCCCTGGCAAACTAAAAGTACTATGGTATTACCATTTTCTTACAGCACAGCCAGAGGAGCATTCTGTAAGGAAACTTCTGTCATCTGCGGTCTAGTTTAGTTAACTCTCATCTTACGGCAGGGTTTTCCTGATATCATCATATTCTGGTGGCTGTTTTACATTCAGGTCAGGTGACTTTATGAGTCATGATGTGAATGGACAGCGCCACAGGACCGACTGCTGAAAACCAAGGCATAAACATAAAATCAAAACTGCTCACGTGGGTTAAAATACACTTGAGCAAGTTCTGTTCTCTGAGCAAGTGATTTTATGGGACAACAGGACATCATGTGATTTAACCCTTGTTCAAACGCTCATCATTCTATTGATCTACAAGCGAGTCATTTGGAGCCGAATCTCCTGTGAGTGTTAAAATCGAAGCATCTACAGCTCATTGATCTTTATAAATGGCCTTCATAAGTGTTCATACACACTGTACGTGTCTGTGACTAAATGCTTTCTTTCAGACGATGTGAAGCACACACACGGCTCTCTCTCCAGTCATCAATCTTTGACCCTGCTGTAAGGCCACTATCATGACGTGGGAAACAGCGTTTTTCCATATTCTGAGCAGTGACTGTTGAAGTGGCCTATGCTCATCAGTCCTCAGCAGCTCTCGTGATGCTCTTCAACATCTCACGACATCTCAGACCGCTGCTCTTTACAACGACACTATTCTCACATCAGCACTCATGAATTCTGGGAACCGGAAACCATCAGCTCTTTCCAGTTTCAAAGTGCAAGAATCTGTCCACCGCAAATGCTGCGAGATTCCGGACGCTCTCTTGAACCGCAAATGTTTCTGTCGGCTAAGACAACTTCTCTGGAAAACTATAGTCTAACTAATCCCTGTGTGACTGTAAAAGAAAAGCATTTTCTCTGTATTTCATACACGCATACAAGATCTCCAACTTCAAATCTTACTGTCATATCTGGGGAAAAGCAGCTTTGCTTTTTGTCGGCATATTCCTCTCTGGAAATCTCTACATTTATAATCATACAGTATTTGTGCCAGGAATGAACAGACAACAACGTCTGTTCAGTTTCATCTTGTGGAGCGTTTGTACAAACACAAGCTCAGCTCTTGGCTGCGAGAACAAATGATCGACACAGAAACACATGTAAATGCTGTATTATTACCTTTGGTGTCTTGGCAAATCTCCCATTTCTCGTATCCTTGATGAGCGAGAGGTCTAACAGGTCGGTCTCCTGCAATCACAAATGAGATTTATGAGTATTATGAGAACAGCGTGTTTAAACTTGCGTCCACAGCACAATTATGAAAGACAATAATGTAATAAAACTAAATAAATATATAATCGTGACATATGATGGGAAATAGGTTGCTTCTTGCTCTTTTTAAATGAAAGACTTTGACATTGTGTGCCTTAAAGCGACAGTGTACAGGTCAGAGGAAGGTCAAGCCCATCGTCAGCCAATCATAACAGAGCTCATTTACATACAGAAGTCTTAAACACTCTGTTTCAAGTCAAGTCACTTTTATTTCTATAGCGCTTTATACAATACTGATTGTGTCAAAGCAGCTTTATAGTGTCAAACAGGAAAATAGTTTGTCAATAATGCAGAGGCAATGAACCAAAACTCCATCAGTGACAGACTGGAACCGGGAACACTTCCCATAACACCCGATGTACTCGCTACATCATAAGAAGAATGGCATCTACGCTAATATTAGTCTCTTTCATTCTTATTCTGAGGTCACCATAACCGTACAGATCCAGTCCGTATCCAGATCAGATGGTGGATCAGCAGCTAGAGAGGGAGAGGACCTCTACAGTCCTGAATGTCAGCGGAGATCAAGACAACTAGATGAGCCCCAGACGACCATCGGCATGAGACTACGAGAACCAGACGAGACCTCTGCTCAATCTGACCTGTGCTGCAGCCTGGAATTAACCCACGTCATGCTGGCCCCCGTCTGAGCCTGGTTTCTCTCAAGGTTTCTTCTCCATTTCTGTCACCGATGGAGTTTTGGTTCCTGGCCAGACAAAACCAGCATGGCGTGGTTTAATTCCAGGCTGAAACACAGGTCAGATTGAGCAGGTTGACCTAATTAATGCAGCCTAACAATCCTTTTGAACTATAGAATTTATAGAATTATAGGATTATAGAATTATATGATTTGAATATTATAAATGTGTAAGTGTGTTATTTGTAAACCAGGTTAAAGAGATGGGTCTTTAATCTAGATTTAAACTGACAGAGTGTGTCTGCCTCCCGAACAATGCTAGGTAGGTTATTCCAGAGTTTGAGTTAGGAGAAGGATCTGAATACTAATTTTGATATTCTAGGTATTATCAAATGGCCAGAGTTTTGAGATCGCAGCAGACGTGAAGGACTATAATGCGATATGGGCTCGCTCAAGTACTGAGGAGCTAAACCATTCAGGGCTTTATAAGTAATAAGCAAGATTGTAATCTTCAAGATCTGTGTAATTGTAAGGGACAAAGATAGGGCGGAAAGCGTATTGTTTTTGGTGCAAAAACCTTACATGTACATCAGAGAGTGTCCTAATGAGACCTCCGGAATGAAAGCAGCATTTAAGCAGAGTCATGCTCACTCCAGATGCTCTTTAACCACATCTTAAATATCAAAAGGGATTGAAGGACCTTTAAAGATCCATTATTGATGTTGAGAATGAGAGTGTGAGGGAAAAGACGCGTCGAGAGAAACATCACCGGCTATTATAACATATTGAGAGTCATTCGATATTGTGAACTGATCAATCCTGAATGTACAAATGTGCATCTGTGCATATCCAGCAATATTTCTTAACTTGAAGACTTTATCATCCAAGAATGAGAATTCATCACAAAACCTCTTTGTTTCTACTGTGGAAGACAAAACTGTTTCTGAATAGTCTTTGTGCACCTCTGAACATTGACTTCAGACAGAGCAAATGTTGAGAAAATGTATAATTTCCTCAAATGCCAGTTTAATTTTAACACTCTTGTTAGCAGTTATCAAAAGCATTATCAGTGAGATCATGCATGTTTGGATTCAGAAGAAAATACCAAATGCTGTCTTCTGCAGTCCACTGTACTGAGTCACGGAGTGTCAGCATCTTTTCTTCTCTTACAGAGGTCACTGGATTCACTCGGCCACACACACTATCAGACACTGTATCAACACACAACGCTCTCTAAAGCAGATTAAATTGGTCTCTAAAACAACAAGTGCATCGGGTTCAGAACCTTTTGTTTGCATCTCTGAGAAGTGTTTAAAGAGTGAGACAGACGTTTAAATAAACTCTGTTTCATAAAAGAGCCACACGCAAAGGTGCGAGTGATGCTCTACAGGACACAATGAGACGAGGACAGTCCTGTCCTCCACACTGTCTTCTGTTCACAAAAGCTGAAATAAATACTGATGAAAAGTGACATTTATAGGCTGTGGAAAATAGCTGATTTCTGTTCAACATCAACATTTTGGAGTTCCTAAATGACTGCAGGTTGGGTTGATGCGCACCGCTTCTAATCTGACATCAGACAGACGAGGGTCTGATTCATATTGCTAACTAAAATGGCAAAACCTTTCTGAAATCATCTGATTGTCATTGTTAATAAATGGGCACAATGACACTTCTAACCTGGATTAGGCAGGTCAGAATAATGTGAGACACAAACGTTATTGTGGCTTTTGCTCAAATTATTTTCAAAACCACAGATCGGACAATAAATGCTCACAAATGTGTTTATATCTGCATGTGACGGCACCAACGGAGCTGATCTGTACTGTACATGACCAGCACTGCTGTAGAGAATCTCCTGTACACTCTTAAAAATAAAGGTGCTTCACGATGCCATAGAAGAACCTTTTTGTCTAAATGGTTCCATAAAGAACCTTTAACATCTGAAGAACCTTTCTGTTTCACAAAAGCTTCTTTGTGGCGAAAGAAGGTTCTTCAGATTATAAAAAGGTAAGAAAGAGATGGTTCTTTAAAGAACCTTTGACTAAATGGTTCTTTGCGGAACCAAAAATGGTTCTTCTATGGCATCGCTTGAAGAACCTTTTGAAGCACCTTTATTTTTAAGAGTGTAGTCTGCGTGCACAGGGTTATACCAGTCCACCAAAGACCTCAGAAGATCAAGGGTCAGCAGAGCCCGTGACTGGATTTGACAGCGTTTGCTGGGTTCTTTGACAGAGAGTCATGAAGCGTTTTCTTTTGAGACACGCTGAATTTATGAGACACCCTTGAGCAGAACCATATATTCCCTTGTTAAGACCGATTTATCCAAATGTCACCTAAACATATGATTGTCATGAAGATGGTCTCTTGTGACTGTGACTATGCTGAGAGTAAATAAATAAATACAAAATCTGGTTACACATTACACAAAACCAAATGTGCCTATATGCAAATATATTCGCTAGCTTCTCGTGAGCATGATATTGCTGCAGAGAAGGAAACAGAATGACTGCAGTTTCTGTGAGCAATAAGAGGGTTTGGGATGCAATGATCGATGATACTGGTGCATTCTGTCTTTACAGAGCTAAACATCTAGTAAGATGTAGGAGAGCAGCAGTTTGTGGCACTGAAAATTATATGATTTTGTGTATTAAATAAATATCAAAGGACAGGGGAAATGGTGGAGGGAACCATAAAGTTTGCATATGGTTGCGTGATGTCTACATATAAAACAAAACTGCCCTTGCATTGTTTTTAGAGGTACCATAGCCACATTTACATTCAAATGAATACATAACGGGCAGCGGTAGAGTTAAATGTATTTGAACTCATGTGGCCCTGCTGTGTAACTCCTGCAATGGTAGATATGATTGTTCACACACACACACACACACACACACACACACACACACAGGTTTACATTTGTGAAAAGTGGGGACATCCCATAGGCGTAATGGTTTTTATACTGTACAGACCGTATATTCTATTGCCCTACACCAACCCTACCCCTAAACCTCCCCCTCACAGGAGACTTTGTGCTATTTCAGATTTTCAGTACACTCCATTCTGTGTGATTTATAAGCGTTTTGAAAAGTGGGGACATGGGGTAATGTCCTGAAAAGTCACCTTCTCCTTGTAATACCTGTCATACCTTTGTCATTATACAAATGTATGTCCTCATTTGTCACAAAAACGCATACACACACACACACACACTCACACACTCTCTCACACACTCACTCACACACTCATACTCTCTCACACACACACACACACACTCACACTCTCTCACACACACACACACACACTCACACTCTCTCACACACACACACACACACTCACACTCTCTCACACACACACACACACACTCACACTCTCTCACACACACACACACACACTCACACTCTCTCACACACACACACACACACTCACACTCTCTCACACACACACACACACACTCACACTCTCTCACACACACACACACACACACTCACTCACACACACACTCACACACACTCTCTCTCTCTCTCTCTCTCTCTCTCTCTCTCTCTCTGACTGGATGTGGCTTCACACAGTGCTGGGGCTTTTTAAACACACTTAAAAGCAGGACCTTTATGCTGATGCTGGAAATGCTAACCTTTGACTCGAAACACCTCCCACTGCAAACAGCCAACACAACATCGACCGAGGAGACCCTCTGCTTTAAACTGAATCAAATGGAAGATGATTATATCTGGGGAAGAGGACTTTTGATGGCTTGACACCATGTCCTAACCAGACCAGCGACGAGCAGTTTGTCTGTCCACACCAGACGCGACAGAATCACTCAAATATCAATTATGGACTCTCTCTCCAAGCACACTGCACTCCCAATGAAATGGATAAGTTTATAATCCAATTCATATATATTAAAGCTTTTTAACATTATTAAAAGTAAATACTGAGGGACTGACACCATCTTCATAATAGAATACACTTGCACTGAGTTCACAGTTTTAACATACATGTTTTAATTTATTTTCGAAATCTGAGGTAAACTATCTGTTGTTGCTTTCAGAATGGCTAGAAAGGTCACGCAAAATGATATTCAAACTCACTTTTAACATTGAATAAATCACATAATCAGTACCTGATATTATCATTGTCATAGTTTGTTGTTGTTGTTCCAGCAGCGACGCCACAGAAATAGAAACCGTTTCTAAAATAGACTGTCGCTGTCACGACTGGTTAGGACAAAACTCAGTTTAACATGGAAAAGATACCTTTTATCGCGTGTCGC